TATATATATATATATATATATATATATATTTTTAAAGGCGATGTCGCATTGCCTCGGCGACGTCGCCTTTTCCTTCTCCCACGCGGGACGACGTCGCCTCGTTTATATATATATATATATATATATATATATATATATATATATATATATATATATTTATTTATTTATTTATATAAAAAATATTTTTATAAAAGGCGACGTCGCCTTTTCCTTCTCCCATGTGGGGCGACGTCGCCTCGTTTATATATATATATATATATATATATATATTTATGATTATATATATTTATATATAAATATTTATATATAAATATTCTTTATATATAAGGCAATGTCATCGAAAAAGGCGACACGACGTCACCTTTTATTATATATATATATATATATATATATATATATATATAATTTTTTATTTTTTATTTTTGTTCTGTCCGGTAACGGACGGTCCGTGTACCGGTAAGCTGACGAACCGATATGTACCGCCCATACCGGACGGTATTATTCGAAATTGCATACCTTGCTCTGAATAGTGTCCCTGTATCTTTCATGTGTTAGCAGATTGAGTAGATTGTTTTAACCTTTTGGGATCAAATTTGGTAGGAGCCTCATGCACTATGTCTCCTCTTTTTAAACATTTGCTACAGTTAGATGTTGCTGTAGAGTCAAAATGAAGTCCGGCTCAGAAGTTTGAGGACTGTTGATGCTACTCATTCTTAAAAATTACTCTAGTAGGAATATGTAATCTGGTACTGATAATAATCTAGAGAACAACTTATAGGACATTTAACAAATACAATTAGTTCTGTTGATCTGAGTCCACCAAGGGCTGATGTTGATTTGAATTTGGTGAAAAAGTCAAGACAGAGAACAATATGTGAAATCACATAAAGCTGTTATTGTTTTGTTGCTTTTTTCACCATGGCTGGAATATTGCTGAATTTGTGCAATACATTGCTGTTTCTCTCCCATTTGAACATTGAAGTTCTTAGACCTTTTCCGAGGAGCTTTGGTTCAGAGTTATGGGATCAGGATGGTCTACAAAATATGAGTTAAAAGATTATCCATGTCGAGTATAATCTCATTTCATTTAATGATGATACTTGGTATAAATGCAGGACATTCTGATACTTCTACTCTTGTAAGGAATATCTCTTATTGCTTCACTGCAGCTAAGTTACTGCCTTTCCCTTATGATACCTTCCCCCATATGAACTTGTTTCAAGGAACTCATTATATTGAAGCAGTGAAACCACGACAAATTTTACTTGTTTTTTGTATATGTTATATCATTTTAATTTGACTAGTCCTAATTTATTCATGTATTGGCTTCGCATCTTCATTTCATTTCATTTTTTTGTTTTTGCTTTGCTTCAATTATTAGTATGACTATTTGATTTTTATTCACCTTAAGATTTCTCAGATTACTATCATATTGAAATTCTTTGAGACTTATTGTTCTGGTTTCTATGTTTAGGTTCGATAGTTGTGTCCTAAAGAAATTATGTACTTGTCCTTTTCATTACAGGTTGCAGCAGTGTTTCGGAAATCTCTAAGACTAACCCACGAGAGTCGCAATAAATTCCCATCAGGAAAGATAACCAACTTGATGACAACTGATGCAGAAGCACTTCAGGCATTTCCATCTTGCTAAACCTATTACTGCAGATGAGATGACGTGAAAGAAATATTTAGTCCACCTCAATTGCTAAACTGTGTCAAAAAATTTGTCTGCTCAAATGTTTTAATGGAAGATAACATGTTAAATAGCACATCTAGTTTCTTACCTCAACAAAGGTCACATTTTGTGATCTTTTCCAGTTAGGTGATATATGCTGAAAAAGAAAGCACATATATTCTGGTTTCTTATGTAAAATAAGTATATTTCTATGCATGTCTTTTTAAAATTATTCTTTAAAGAATTAAGATAATAGATAATGACTGACAAGTTTAATAAACTGGCATTGTGAAAACTTTCAGGTTAAGGTTCGGTAAGGTTGTGTACAAAACTAAACATTATTTTGATGCATCTTGCCATTCTCTTTGAACAGCAAGTGTGCCAGCAGCTTCACAGTCTATGGTCAGCTCCCTTTCGGATTATCATTTCAGTTATTCTTCTGTACGAGCAGCTGGGTGTTGCATCTCTTATTGGCTCATTTGTGCTGGTTCTTTTGTTTCCCATACAGGTAATCACCCTTATAATATTATATTTTTGCAATCTATCATTTTTCTGCAGTCTCAATGTTGAACTTTTGTCATCTCATAACATTATTAAGGTCAAGTTTGACACAATTTCAAATGTGATACTTGCACTTTATGGTTCTTAGAAGCAAGGATTGCCGTTTTGGATATTGGACCCATTTCGGTGTTCTACTCGAACCGGTATGTGCACGTCAGTACCGGTGTACCAACATATGGTACACTGGTATGTATTGGTGTTTGGAAGATGAAGAAGAAGAAGAGGAAGGCACAGTAGAGGAAGGAAAAAAGGAAGAGGAAGGAAGAAGAGGAGGTGATGGAGGAAAAGGTGGAGAAAGAAAGGAGGAAGATGAAGGGGTAGTGGTAGAAGAAGAGATGGAGAAAGAAGAAGGAAGAAGAGGAAGTGGTGGAGGAGGACGAGGAAGAAGAGGAAGGGAGAAAAAGAATGATGAAGAGAAGGGGGAGAAGAGGAGGAAGTGTATTATGGAGATAAGCGGCAGTGACATCGAACGGCAGCAGCGTCGTGTGAAGAGGGCAGCAGCGAGAAAAGGGCTTGCGATCGCTGTCAACTCCTTAACATGTTCAGCTTGGCTTCACCTTGAAATTATATGAGCAAGACAATATAATATTTTCCATATTAGTTATTCAAATACATATTTTTGTATATCCCCTAAAACTTGTTATTTACAAGATAGTCCTCTCCAATCCTTCTCTGCTGTGCATATATGTCCTTTGATCTATTTTACTCTTTTCTTGTTTAGTTTGGAATACCAAGACTGAAATAGATTCGCAGCACTAGCTTCATGCGTATCCTGGCAACCTATGCTTCTAATGCTCTCTTGCCTCTTCTAAGGGTCAAGTGGATCATGCTTCTAGTTGTATGGAGGCTGGTTGGAACTTTTAGCTATCAAAGGAATATTCCTTGTCTTGATTTATTTGGTAATCTTTTAAGTAATTGCAAATGAAAATTTCCAAGAACCGCCCACCGTACCAGTATGGAGTGGATCTGATAGTCACTGTTTACTTGGTAAAAGATGATTGACATAATCGAGTGATGCAATCCTAAATGGATTGCATTACCTTCAAATATAGGTTTTTGTCAGGCAAATTGCATCTCAGGAACTTAAGCCTGAGCTTATACCAATTTTTTGGGTGCTTTTAAACAGTCCTTGAGCTGAAGAAACATGAAGCTGTTTCAGCTCTGATATTCTTAATTGGAAGGAACAGAATAGTTGTCTCAAAGTTATAATGTAAAGTCCTGTATGGTATTTTTTTCATTGCCTACTACAATCATCTTATGTGTTGTTTATGGCTTGTTCAGTCTTTTATATAAGTTTGCCTTGAGTGAGGCTGTGATTTCCAAGCAGTTTTTAGGTGCAGGTTAATAAAATATTTTGAAATTCTTGGCCATATATGTTTCTCTCAAATAAAAGAGAACATAGCTTTGGAGCTTGGAGCAGCTTTTTATACTTCAATGTAGAGAAATTCCAGAAGTTCTTCGCTTCATTGAAACATTTTTTTTTCTTTTTCTATGCCAATTGTTACATTTGAAATTTGCTACTCAATTTAAAACCACATTCCATGTTAGCCATATAAAGCAACTAACTAGAATCGATATGTATGGGGTGTTTACATTTAATATAGTGCTTGGAGTTGTCATTTTAATGTTTTACAGTATCTGCCTTTTTAAATCAACCATACCAATGATTGTTTGTCAATTTTTCATAGACAAATCTATCAGGCTAAACTCTAAAGAATAACTTTCACTGTTTCACTATAATGCAGTTGTACAAGTATTTAGGTCTGTTAACTGCTTTCCCTATATTATTTCCCATTCTGATATCTTTTTTGGTTTATTGTGGAATCAGACATTGGTGATAAGTAAAATGCAGAAACTTTCTAAGGAGGGCTTGCAACGTACTGACAAGCGGATTAGTCTCATGAATGAAATATTAGCTGCGATGGATACAGTGAAGTATGTTTCAGATTGGTTGGTATTGCTTTAGAGTATCTTATTTTGGCTGGCCGCTGATCATTCTTGATCTCTTGGTGAACCAGATGTTACGCATGGGAACAGAGCTTCCAGTCAAAAGTGCAGAGCATTCGCAATGATGAGCTTTCATGGTTCCGCAGTTCTCAGCTGTTAGCTGCGGTAAGATTAAAAAAATATTTTCATGAATTCCCTAGTGGGATCAGAGGATATACCAGTGAAAAAATATTATTTTTGTTTCTTTTTTTTTGTAGAAAGTTTATGTATTCTTATGAATTCTACCTAATTTTGCAGTTCAATACTTTCATCCTGAACACCATTCCAGTATTTGTTACAGTTGCCTCATTTGGGGTGTATACTCTTCTTGGAGGGGATTTAACACCTGCAAAAGCATTTACCTCACTTTCATTGTTTGCAGTGTTGAGGTTTCCTCTGTTCATGCTCCCCAATTTGATTACTCAGGTGCAATACTCCCTAAGCTTTATGTCTTTTCTATCACTTGGTAGTTGGTAGTCTTTTCTCAATGTGGCTATAAGATAATCGAAACTGTCCTCAGAGTTTGAACTTTGAAGCTTGAATAAATTGAAGTACTTAGCCTTGTATATAAAGAAAATTAGATTTATCAAATATTAAAGTTGAACCTTGGCACCATGATAAGTTTGTCTCTGTCATGGGTTCAAGCCACAAAATTAGCCTCTCATCTTATATGTATGGTGCTACTGCTACGCACGAGTTCATTTATGGGAGCCTTCAACAGTTATACTTGCTGCATTTGGGGGTTTATATCTAGCTTCTTGTATGCTTTGCTAATATCAATGACAAAGTCACTGTGACTAACCTCAGTGAGGGGTTGGAGTGATACTACGGGTCCACTGTGACTAAACTAAGTGAGTTGTTGCTCACCGTCGCTAAAGTTGACTTGGGTAGTGTTTGTTATGATGTAGAAAATATAGGCTCATGCTCTTTTTCATGTGAGCATTCCATTCTACCCACATGGCAAAATCTTGTAAAAATATACATGGAGATAGATTCACAAATAGAATTGAAGGTACTTAACAAGCACATCATTCTTTTCTAATGCCTGCTATCTATTTTTTTTCTGCAGGTTGTGAATTGTAATGTGTCACTTCAACGTTTAGAGGACCTACTTCTAGCGGAAGAGAGAATTCTTTTGCCAAATCCACCTATTGACCCAGGGCTGCCAGCTATTTCGATCAAGAATGGATACTTCTCTTGGGATTCACAGGTTTCATATCATAATCTTGTCTTATTTTGTTAATATGGTTTTGCATCTTTTTAGTTAAACTTGAGGGCAAAAGGACTACTCTCTTGTTCATCGTTTCTCTCTTTGATGCTTGTCTTGGCAATGGTCTCTACCGAATGTCACGCACTTAGCTAGTTTTGTCTAAGTCGTGTGGTACTTTTGTGTGTCCGTCCGCAAAGGTTAACATCCCCGAAACCTCCTATAGTCCCTTAGGATCTACAAAAGAGAAACCGGGTTAGAGAAAGCGTTTCACTCGGGATCCACAAGCAATCATTTTAGCAAACACTTTATAGCTAATGCAAATTACAAACAAACTTCCCAAGCTCTGAACGGTCGTACAACAAAGGGTCCAAAATGGTTCACTACGGACCGAAATCCCCACAAGTGCCCACATGACACAACATTTGTTTACGATATAAAGACGACCACCAAAGCCAAAGAAAATGAGACTGTTAAGCCTACTGTCAGCCCTTTATATGTTGTGCAAAGCATGAATAAAACCGAAAGACACGGACATACATGGGTATTATATCAAACACCCCGTTTACAATTTTGTCTGTGACATTCTCCCTTACTTATTCCTTCGACATCCTTGTCGAAGTCTTTGCAGACGCTGCATCTCCTTGCCTTTGCTATGTCTTCAATCTTCTGCTCTAGTTGCAATGCGCCTCTTGTCTCCCAGTTGTACTCCGTTGCTATTATTGAGTAGTCGAACTTTGATCCGCCATGCTGCTTCAACTCGCCAATGATGCCGACTCTGGTATGGGGTCGACTGAGTTGTGCCGATCCTTGTTGTTTCTTGTGGATCCCTCAGATGAAGGAAAAGACCATCCTTAGTATATGCTAATCTCTCAAATCCCTCATGTCGCTTGAACTAGGTGGATGCTTATTGGAGTTTTAACGAGCATTACCTCGCAGACATTAAAGTTTTTGGGTCCTTCCTCCGTAAAATTTGTCATTCGATTCTTCTTCCACTTAGTCGTCACTTCCAAGTTGGTTCGCATCACTTCCGCTTTCGATTGGTATTCTGTTGGGAAATGAAGTGGATAATCTACTCTTAGTAGCACTGATCACCATTGGTGAGGATTTGACAACTATTGTCTTCTATTAGCTTTCTAGTAAGGGTCTTTGAACATGTGCAGAGCTTCTATGCTAGATAGATAAGAGAATTGGGGTACTCGGTTTCGCCCATTCTCTTAAGGGTTGAGAAGACAAAGGTTACTTGACTTCGCCCGCCTCATCGAGGGTTGTACTCTATGCATCGAGTTGGTTACTAGCTTTCGCTCACTCTTTTGCTCACACTTCTGAAGCACTCGAAGTGTTTTCACTCCTTGCGTTGAGTTAGCTACTGTGATTCACCTTCTCAATGTCATTAAACATCTGGAATGCAAGAAGCTTTCACCCCAACTTGGAGCAAGTCTCTAATAGTTTTGTTCGTCTCTAGGATTGTACCATCTTCTCCATCATTTTTGTTACCTACTCCTTTGAGTTGCAAAGGTACAGCACCGCGTACTGCCTACTTCGTTCCTTGGTCGAGCACTCTTTCATCGACGCGAAGTCCTCCACTTTCGGCTATCTTGATGAGATGCTTGTTGACACCGGTCTTACGAAGTTCCCTGCCCTCTGCTCTTCTGTGTTGTCTCGGTACTTGGAGTTTGCCTCTGCATTCTTCACATCTTCATTCCCTTTTACGACCAAGCGTTCTCCCTCCATGAGAACAAGGGATCGATGACTTCACGAAAATCCCGTCTCTGCGATACCATGGCATTGTCATGCCCATGGCCCTACTATCCATTACCTCGCATCTGCGTCCCTTTCTAACCGATGCTTTGTGGCACTATGACACTCCTCCGAGTCCACCTCCATTCTAACCGATGCTTGGTTTTTGGGTAGCTAAGTCCCTCTAGACTTGTCGTCTTTTCCTTGCCCCTTTCAACCACCCGCTTCAACACATCTGTGTTCTCCGAGCAGCTCCCCTTGGTCGATGGAAAGATAGATTGTAACTCCCATGCATGGCCATCGCCACCATGTTGTAGGGTTCGCACCTATTTTGTTCTCCTTATCTTCCTTGGTAGTAACGTTCGCTTACTTGGCCTTGTCCTCTGACTTGCCAGGCTCCCTAAAGCGAATATGAGCTTTGGAGCAGTCCAACTCTTCAACCGCTCCGATCATACCTCTGTATGATTAAGTCCCACCTATGGGACTCATTGGTACTTGCATTCGAAATTCTCCATCGGTAGTACATAGCCCTCATATGTCGATAACCAAGGCTTTTATCCGATGCAAAATTCGATGCACGCACGGAAGACCCGCCTCTACGATACCATAGCATTAACTCCTTGAATCCATAGCCTTTATTACCGTCGTGTGGTTCACCGAAGTGGAGCTTCCAATAGCTCCTGATCATACCTCCGTATGATCTAGTCCCTCGCGGGACTAGTTTCATGTGTATCGCATTGCCACGAACTGTTCTATCACGATCCGGTGCACTATGTCGCCTCCTGGTGACATATTCATTGCATTCTGATCATTGTGGGATGAACTCGGATTGCGATCCTTCCATGTGTGGCCTCTGCCAACATATCGCATGGCCTCTTCCACCTTCGATTGTGTTCACTCCACTGGCAATCGACCTTCGTCCACCCGCACTTGGGTCACACCCAACCGAAACATAGCTCTAGGACAGCCCGTCGCGTAGCAGCTCCTGAAGTCTATTGACTTCGCTAAAATTGGTGCACCATTGTCTGGATCCTGGGCCTCTGCCCTCCAGTAGCACAATCTCCGCTACGCACTATTTCCTTCATGGCAACTTGAATGACAGCACTGTGACATATTCTTCAAGAGTACCCGCCTCCGCGTCCTCTTGCCTCGTGTCAAGGCCTTCCGAACCCAACTTTACCTCTGCAAGTTAAGTCGCCTTGGTTCCTCTATCAAATGGTTCTCCGAGATAAGGTGCATATGCCTCGAAGCTCCCTTCGTTTTTGGCACCATGTAGGATGAGTCCGCTCCATCGGAATGAGGGACCCATGGAACGACATGATCCTGATCTTGCCTCCACAAGAGTTCATGTCTTTGACCTCTGTCCAAGGAAAGCTTCATGCCTTCGTTTTATATTCCATCTTCTATGTCGACTCCCTTCGTGCGACCTGGGTACTTCACCAAATTACATTTAAATTGTTCCGCTCCTCGATTTGCATTGAGTTGATGGTGGTCCTCGCGCCCACTATTCCACTGGTCAGCCCTCCGTTGAGTCCGATCTCCATATCGGCTCCAAGTGTGCCTTCATTTTGTGTTGCCTTGGGTCGCTCCCCCACTTGATCTCACAATGCATCCACTAATGCATTACCTCATGCGAGATCATGTGATGACTCCTCACCACTCACTCTGTCTATTGAGCTTTGTGCGGTTATTGTCTCGAGGTACTCCTCAACATATGCGGTCCGTTGCGTATGATTCTCCCTCTGGAAAACCGGGACTTGTCCCTCCAAGGTATCTGTCCCATTGGAGCAACTTCTCTCTTTGTATCCTTCCCTCTGGAAGTTTTGGAGACCACCATCCCTTTGTACTACTCCGTCTTACTGAACAAATTGTGCATTGTTCTACCTTTGCAAATGCACTTGCTATATCGGGACTCTTCGCCAATACAACACCTGCTGCACCCCTCAAGGCCTAGCAACATGCTGAACTCGCTGCACACTTCAGCCTCCTACGGATGTATCCTTCTCATGCTGAAGAGAAAGTTCTAATGCTCCATGGCGTCGAGTTTCGATCGCCTTGGGATGGCCACGAACATTACATCATCCGCATACAAGCCCTTGCATGAGTACCGAATTCTTCGAGTTAGCAATTCCCCTTACCTCTGTGAGCTTTGCACAACTCTTTCAGTCGCTAAACAACCCATTTCACTTTGCACGGTCTCATCCTTTACTAAGCGCCTTGCTTGTCTTGAGCACCATCAAGTATGGTTGTCAATGTTGAGCTATAGCTCGAACTCAGTCATTTTAACCTTTGTGCGCTACGCATTTTTCCCAACTTGCTTGTCCTCGTGGTGCCTCTTGCGCGAAGGGTTGGGTATTCCTCTGAATGCCAATCTCAAATGTCCACTCCTCTTAGCGACTTCTTTTCCCTACATCTCCATGCTCATTTCCTCCAAACGGTCGCGCGTGCTAGTTGCCCTCAACGCAGCCCCGTTAGGTCTCCCACGTTCGCATGCCAAGTGTTTTTATGGGTGCTTGTCTCGCTCCGATACCATATGTCACACACTTAGCTAGTTTTGCCCAAGTCGTGTAGCACCCTTGCGTGTTCGTCCGCAAACCGAAACCTCCTATAGTCCTTTAGGACCTACAAAAGAGAAAACGGGTTAAAGAAAGTGTTTCACTCGGGATCCACAAGCAATCATTTTAACAAGCACTTCATAGCTAATGCAAATTACAAACAGACTTCTCAATCTCTGAATGGGCGCACAACAAAGGGTCCAAAATGGTCCCACTACAGACTGAAATCTCCACAAGTGCCCACATGACACAACCTTTGTTTGTAAGCTAAAGACGACCACCAAAACCAAAGAAAATGGGTCTGCTAAGCCTATTGTCAGCCCTTTACATGCTGTGCAAAACATGAACAAAACTGAAAGACATGGACATACATGAGCATTACATCAAACACCCCGTTTACAATTTTGTCCGTGACAAAATATACTAAATTTCACATCCTTTTTTTTATAATTAAGTTGATTTTTTTTGGTTTGGCTTATGTGTCAATGAACTCAGACAACATTACTGTTTGCAAGATTAGCCATCTTCAGTGATGGCACTAATTCCATGCCTTGTTGCAATAAACCCTCCATACTAGAGTCATTTATGCATGTCAACATCAGAATCATCTTAGTAACTGATTAATCGATCTCCTATACATATATTTTTTCTAATCAACCCTAGATTATTCTTGTTGGGTCCCTTTTTAATGTGATCCCTTAAATTGAGCTCGGATCCTCTTTAGTTCTTTCGCCTGTCGTATTTTTTCTGTTTCTTAATAAATTTATGACTGCCTACATATGCATATTGCATTTATTTTCTATTTTCTTTTATATTTCAAAAAAGCTGAAATTTAATTTGACAATCTTCAAGTAGATTTGGAAGCATTCTAAGTTTCAAACACAATTATATGTCCTCATTCCTCATTCCTCAGAGACAAAATGGTTACCAGTTTATAAAAAATCAAATAAGACCACAAAAATTGTACTAGCTACAAATATTACTTGTATTTTTTTATGACTAATATACTTGAATTTTTATGTCCTATATGGTCCTAAATTACCTACAACATATTCTTTAGTGCAACAGAAATGTAAAGGAAGACTTTGTTGACAGCTCCTGTTTTACTGAAATGATCTTGAAGTAGTTAAGTAAAACAAAATTTTGAGAGTAACAAAATAAAATTAGGAGTGATACAAATTACAAAAATCTTGTGTGCCAATTGGTGATAGCTTCCTGCTGTGGAATTTTAAAGATTGTAAAGTCATACTTGCCAGTTGGTGATATTTTCCTGCTGCAGGATTCTAATGGTTTCAAAGTTGTATGGCATAAACTGACTGGCGCATGGCTGCCTTTATAGCACCACACTATATATATTGTGAATTCAGTCTGCTTGAGTATTAAGAATGTTATGGATGGATGATACCATTTGTTGGGACCATTCTTTTTTAGTATCTATCATGGATGTGATAGTTATGATGGTTACGAGATACTTATAATCATTCCTTTGTGGCTTGTGAGAAATATGTTTTACTAATCTTTTGTCTATACAATATAACAAGCTCGGCCATTGTGCATCTAGTCACTTATGTTCTCAAGATTTTCATCATGTGTAACATTAATTTTATTGCACTAGTCTTCTATATGCCACAATCCATTTTATACGCCATAATGTATTTCTAAATTTTCTTTAAATGCTAATTATCTAACATATCAAGCTCAGGCAGAGAGGCCTACACTAGCAAATGTCAATGTGGATATACCTGTTGGTAGCTTGGTTGCAATAGTTGGAAGTACTGGAGAAGGAAAAACATCTCTAATATCAGCAATGCTTAGAGAACTTACACCAGTGGCTGGAACTGATACATCAGTGACTATTCGGGGGACTGTTGCTTATGTTCCTCAAGTTTCATGGATATTCAATGCTACTGTAAGTTATATTTATGTCTTTATTCATTATTTGTCAAATAGACAACTATTCTTAAATTTTGCTTGTGCAAGACAGGTACGTGAGAACATATTATTTGGATATCCTTTTCAACCATCGCAATATGAGAAGGCAATTGAGGTTACCTCATTGCAGCATGACCTTGATTTGCTTCCAGTAAGTGAACATGTCATAGCAATGGGATGTGTTTCTTTTCCTGACTTGTAACTCCCTGCTCTCTCTGTCACCGACTCACTCACACAAACACAAATGGTGTATTCCGACATTTTTCAGTGCATGATGGGTTTCTTACAATCACTATCCCTATGTATACACTCATGCTACTTCTGTTGCAACTATGAAAATATGTACATGCATGAAATAGAACTTCTCACCTGGGAGTTCCTAAGAATTTAGAATCAGTTGACATGTATGCATCAGCCATCAAATAAGTTGCTGGACTAGCCTTTGTGCTTTGCAAAATAATCTAATAAGCCCCCTTTGTTCTAGCTCTTTTTTTTTTAGGAACATAGATGCTTAATTTCTTCTTCATTGTGCTTTGTCAGGGTGGTGATCTTACAGAGATTGGTGAAAGGGGAGTGAATATCAGTGGTGGACAAAAGCAAAGAGTTTCAATGGCAAGGGCAGTATATTCAGATTCAGATGTATATATATTTGATGATCCTTTGAGTGCATTGGATGCTCATGTTGGTCGGCAGGTACAATTTGCCAAAATTGTCATCAGCTGACTTATGCCCTGATTCTATCTACTTGCTGTTGTGGTCGTATATTGTTAAAGAGACATCTTGCTTAGCATTCACCATATTTCAGTGACAAAGTCTCGTACCAATTCAATGTTTTATCTACAATAGTTAAATTCACTCCTTTTATCATATTGGATGTAGCTACATGTATCAAGAGCACTATCAATCCAGCACTGGGCCTAGATATGTGCAAATGCATATCTAGGTGCTTCCAATTGGTCTTTTTCTTCAAGCATAAAGTATCTGCACCTGGTAAGGACACAATAAAAGGGGAAAAACATATTTGAGACCAAGGAATACAATCTTGCATAAACTGACATGTATCTACTGGTATTTACTAGTTCAGGGATAAACCATCATGCAGATTGCAGACTATCTGACATTATATATGTAGTATAGGGCTTGCCGCTTGATAAATCGTATGAACCGTGTAGTAAGCCCCTTGCTAGTTAACTCTAGAAACCTTCTGCACCTCTTCTTGCATCACCCGTTGTCCCCAGCCTATGGGTAGTACTTCTTTCCTTCTCTCCCCTTTTGCTCCTTGTCCTCCTTGTCCTCCTGCTTTTCCTTTCTGGTACTGTGGTATGTACCACAATATCATGTATCGATTTGTTGGTTCATACCGGACAAATACCAGTCCAGCCAGCGACTGACATGGCTCTAGTATCAGAATTACAACCGTTGTTTAAAATAAAGTAAATGACAGGAACTGGCCACCTACTTATGTGTTGCTAACTCACAACCTGTCTTGTTTGAGTACTGAGTAGCCTTCCCTCCTGCTACTGGAACTTTAAGTTATTGGATAAATACAAATGTTTTGTGTTTTAAATTTCTAGTTGAGTATGCAAATAGTCTGTCCGTAGACTTCAGAAATCATGATATCATTATCCACAAATTAGTATTTCTATATTCTGATTTTTCTGTCTATTATGATCCAGGTTTTTGATAAATGCATCAACGATCAACTGAGGAATAAAACTCGAGTCCTGGTAACTAATCAGTTGCATATTCTTCCACATGTTGACAAGATTATTCTCGTTCATGAAGGAATGGTGAAAGAGGAGGGTACCTTTGAGGAACTCAGTACTAGTGGAATACATTTTCAAAAATTAATGGAAAATGCTGGGAAAATGGAGGAACAAGTAGACGAAAAGCAAGGTGGTAACTCTGAAGAGACTGCAAAATCAGCTGAAAATGGAGATGTGTCAAAGACAGTGAATGCTTTGTTGAAGAGTGAAGAGAAAACAAATAGAGGGAAAGAAGGAAAATCTGTGCTTATCAAACAAGAGGAACGTGAAACAGGTGTTGTTAGTTTGAAAGTTCTTGCAAGGTATTAAATCTTATTTACATTGCATAACTTTGTGATTACAATATAAATATAATATTTTGTTTTTTCACCCTTCTGAAATCGTTGATTCATCATATTATTGGACACCGAATAAAACTTTACAATGTTACGTTGTAGATGTAACTCTGATAATCTTGTTAACTTATTCATTGTTTGACATTCTGTGCACTTTCTTGAAGGATGACTCTGAAGTTCATCTTATATGCAATGCTTGTGTTGCAATTATAGCATTGGTCAAAACTTTGATTTTACAGGGCTTTCTTGATACTTGTGGGATTATGTATATATGGATATTGGATACTGATATGACAGTGCTAATACACCAATTCAGGAAATCTTGAAAATATATGATATAATAATCATGGATATGATATTAAAAATATTTGAATTGCATATATGACAGAGCTTGATATTTATTTGTAATGTCAAAGAATGTAGTCAGGTATCATAATAAATAACAAGAAGTATTTAGCTGACTATTCATCTTGAATTTTTAGTAACATATTACTTCAAATATTAATCTTACTTCACTTACGATAACTTCTCCAAATCCTTTTAAGTTTGTTTATCATACTATGATATTTAAGACAAACAACACAAAGCAATTTATCAAATTATATATTATTTCATTAACAATCTGAGATCAACATTCAACAAAAACAAAGTTCTTGCAAGTAGTCTCTATCAAAGATTACCTAGTATCCTAGATGCATTGGATCTAGTTAATGGTTATTTTGAAAATGTATATTGCAAGGAGCAATCTGATATGGATATGGCAAGTAATCTGGAGTATCCTTGTTTCATATAGCCTGAGTTCTTAATCATTTTATGCTTTGATTATTTGTCTTGATAAATTGGTGCTCTATCTAATATCCAGAGAACTTTCTGTGCTCTATTTGTATTAACAAAATTAACATTTTGATGTCTTACTACATGTTCTGTTCTTCTAAGTTCTTATATATTATGTTATGAATCTCTCTCTTTATTTTTGTAATGTTTTATTTCACAATTCTTGCCTCTTATTTCTTTTACAAAAACTCTGCTGTGGGCTTTGCTTGGGCATTTCATGACAGAAGATTATGAAGATAGGTATTCTAAATGTTTCCAACAACTTTGCATGATTAACAGCTACTACTTTAATCCAAGGCATTTGCAACCAAAGTTTCAAGTAGTAATCCGATAATAGTTTTTGATCTTCAAAGATTTAAAGCTCTGTCCAATGCTGGTTTTGGTAATCTATTGGATTGATATGGAACCATAAACCAAATGGTATATGGATCCATGCCACTCGGTGTCACTTGAAATAAAAACTAAAAAACTATTTTGATGGGTATTGCACCATATGACTTGATATTGTTCTGTAGTCAAACTGATAAACACTGATTAGTATGCGTCATACTAACTAAATTTTAGAACTATGCTGAGTTGTACCCAGTATCACTTAATAAAAAAAGCAGTATATTGAGTTATACCAAGGTGTATGGTTAGTTAGGTGCATGGTTGGATTGGTAAATATGGGGCAGTACATATTGGTCCGACTGACATTTTAAACCATTAGTGCCACGAGTTGGAAATTCCTATGTCACCAGATTAGTGCATATGTTACTCAAGATTCATGTCATGTTCAGCTTTGTTTTTGCCCTTGTACTTGAGTGCGGTTAATGTTTACCAAATTTGTTTAATTGTATTTTTTGCAGGTACAAGAATGCATTGGGTGGGATGTGGGTTGTTCTGATGCTATTCTCTTGCTATGCTTTGACTGAAGTTCTCCGAGTCTCAAGTAGCACATGGTTAAGTGTCTGGACAGATCAGAGCTCTCCGAAGAGCCATGGTGCTGGATTTTACAATCTGATTTATTCAGTTCTTTCTCTTGGTCAGGTACAGAAAATTCAGAACTAAAATGTTATTAATTGCTCACAGTTTACAATCTCTGGCAATTCTAATTCGGGGTAGAATCTTTGCTTAAACCGAAGTTTCTCTGAATTCTAACTCCAGGTTCAAATGTTAATTTAGGTACTAGTGACGCTGACAAGCTCTTATTGGCTAATTATGTCAAGTCTTTATGCAGCCAAAAGGCTGCATGATGGCATGCTTCACTCTATATTAAGAGCTCCAATGGTATTCTTTCACACCAATCCGCTTGGACGCATAATTAACAGGTTTGCAAAAGATCTTGGTGACATTGATCGCTATGTTGCAGTCTATGTTAACATGTTCCTGGGACAAGTCTCACAACTTCTCTCAACATTTGTTTTGATTGGCATCGTGAGCACTACCTCTCTGTGGGCAATAATGCCCCTTTTGATTTTGTTCTATGCTGCCTATTTATACTATCAGGTAAAGATTTCTAGTCTATTTAATAGTTCAGGAAATGCAGTTTCCTTATTTTCATTTAACTAAATGCTTGTAACACTTGTTTCATGGTCATTTAAATTTTTAATATTTTACAGAGTACAGCACGTGAAGTAAAGCGTCTAGATTCCATTACCAGATCGCCAGTGTATGCACAATTTTCCGAAGCATTAAATGGTTTATCAACAATTCGAGCATACAAAGCATATGACAGGATGGCCAGCATCAATGGTAAATCAATGGATAATAATGTAAGATTCACGCTTGTTAATATGAGTGGTAATCGGTGGCTTGCTATTCGGTTGGAGACACTGGGAGGCATCATGATATGGTTCACAGCTACTTTTGCTGTCATGCAAAACCAACGTGCAGAAAATCAGAAAGCATTTGCATCAACTATGGGTCTACTTCTTACTTATGCTTTAAACATTACCAACCTATTGACAGCTGTTCTGAGACTTGCAAGTCTCGCTGAAAATAGTTTAAATGCTGTCGAGCGAGTTGGGACATACATAGAATTGCCTTCTGAAGCTCCTCCTGTTATTGAAAGCAACAGACCACCTCCAGGTTGGCCATCAGCTGGAATTATCAAGTTTCAAGATGTTGTCCTTCGTTATAGGCCAGAGCTTCCCCCTGTTCTTCATGGCATATCCTTCACAATTGAAGGAAGTGAAAAGATTGGAATAGTTGGTCGTACTGGGGCTGGAAAGTCTAGCATGCTTAATGCTTTGTTCCGCATTGTGGAACTAGAAAGAGGAAAAATATTTATTGATGATTATGATATATCTAAGTTTGGTCTTTGGGATTTGCGTAAAGTCCTTGGAATTATACCACAGTCACCGGTTCTGTTTTCAGGTATTATACTTCCTCCATCATTATGGGCTTGAATTTAAAAATAAAGTTTTTTGTTGTTTGCTTAAGTTCTGTTACTTAAACAATATGAAACACTGGATAGTAGTCTTCTATTAGTGGTATGAATCTTCCTGAAGCATCTAGCACAAAATCTGACAATCAGGGCATGTTACCTTTCATAGGTTTCCTGAATTTATTATAAAATTTTAGTTTTACGGTCATTAATTTGGAACATTAATTTGGACCATCTAGGTGTTTTTGTGTCAGTTTAATGTGACCTGAATTGAATGATTTTTTTAATAGTTGAAAGGCCAATAATTAGATTGGTGACCTCTCAAGGGCTTTTATTTGACTGGGTAAATCACAAGATATATCAAATTCAATTATCAAATAGTCAAAAATTTCAAGCGAAATGAAAACATTGGGTAAATGACAAGACACTGAATCTTGATATTCTTTTTGCATTCATGGAGACTGTTGAAATGCTTTCATGGCTTATTAGTTTGATTATGCATTGTTGAAGCAGTTTCATGTGCAAGAGTTTTAACTACTTGAAATAGTTGAAGTTTCGGCTGTGAACTTCCTGCATTAATCCAAGAATCTATCATTTTAAGTGCTGTACCCTAGGATTTTAAAAGAATCTAACTTTTCATTTTTCCATATAGACAGAACCTGTTCATTATTCCCTATATATATCTGTATGGTGCTGTTTTGCTCTATTTTTGTTTGTGTTTTTGACTGTCTGGCCCAAAAACTACCCAGGCACTGTCCGGTTTAATCTGGATCCCTTCAATGAGCACAATGATGCAGATCTTTGGGAGGCTTTGGAGAGAGCACATCTAAAAGATGTCATTCGGAGGAATACAATGGGACTTGATGCGCAGGTTTGGTGCATTCTACTCTTTATACCATCTATTTATCTTCTCATTATATGCATTGAGTTGCTGTTATTGTGGACATCTAGTGACTTATGACTAGAAAACCTCAGCATCAAAAGAATCAGAAACAAATAAATACTTTTGATTCTTCCTGATAATGTTTACTTCTGGCTTTTCAATTTGTTGATTGGAATTTGAAATACACTGTTTAAGGTATATCAAGTAAATTCCTATTATAAATTATGCTTTCTCTTCAGCATGTTATGATTGTCTCCTCAATTTTACATAGTTACAGTTTTAAATATTTAGTTTCTTACATTATTTGGTCTTGTGTGAACCTATCTCTCTATGATTATCTTTTTGGACTTATTGCCGTAGATGCAATATCAGTGGCTTACAAGAATACAACAGAAGTCGTATTTTTGTTGCCTATTTGACACCAAGGGTGAGGGTGAAATTTAGTTCTCTCATAAATTCAAATGCTAAAGTGATATAGAACAAGGGTATATACCATGTAGCTTCTACTGATATGATTAATTTTTCCCTTATCCTCAGGATGATTTTGCACAAGTATTTTGGCTGAACTATTCAACCTCTTATTGTTGTAGGTCTCAGAAGCAGGGGAGAATTTCAGTGTTGGGCAACGGCAACTTCTGAGTCTTGCTCGAGCATTGTTAAGGAGATCGAAGATTCTTGTTCTTGATGAAGCAACAGCAGCAGTGGATGTCAGGACTGATGCTCTTATCCAGAAAACTATAAGAGAAGAGTTCAAATCTTGCACAATGCTCATCATAGCTCATCGATTAAATACCATCATCGACTGTGACCGGCTTCTTCTCCTCGGTGCTGGCAAGGTATTCTGTGAGACTCCAGTTGCCGCATGACAATCTTACTAGGATAACTTGTGTGGGAACCCAAAGCCTTTTTTTCAATATCTGGAGCATGTTTTTATCTGCTTATTATGGACTCAACAACTAATTGTTCAGAATTTAACCTTCAGATGTGGATAGCTATTAGCATGTTGAACTTACAAAAAAAATAAAAATACAGCATGTTGGTTTATTGTCATAGAATTTATTAACCACTAGTAGCTAGATTCAAACCTTTCTTGGACAGCTCATATCATTTTTTATGCATCTGAATGCATATAAATGGGGACACCATCAGTGCTTTGGAAGAGAAAAGTTGGGGAAGGAGGTTTTGGAGGGGGTGGGTGGGAGTTGAGGGGTGACAAGAAATCTAGGATAAGTTTACCTCAACTCATGGAGATCCGATACGTATTTCTTTTACAATATAAATTTATCTATTTTTGTTTAAATAAAATGGGTGATTTTTAGCCACTGGTTGCTGTCTTTTCTTTGAATTATTTTTCTTTCTGTTAGATTTTTGAAATGAATACACAGTCATCATCTCAGTTTTATGGTTTTCTAATCAAGCAGTAAGAATTCACCAATTTATTGCAAAAGCAGAAGCACTTTTGTACTTGTGGCATCATATTCTTGTTAGCAATGGCAACTCTTGCCTCCTCCATTGACAACATCTGGGCTTATCCTTCTACTTCTGGCAAAAATTTACATCTTAAGATCTCCATGGTCCATGCTCATTTCATGTGAAATAGCTTTGCTTAAGAAGAATCATGTGAAGAATTATTTGTGTTCAAGAGCTTTGACTAACTTGATAGTACACAATGAGTATTGTCAAAATTATCAAGTTCAATGCAATCGCCTTGGCAGCAGAGCTATTTGGTTATTATCAAATGGCACTGTTGAGCTCAATGCTAAAAAAATAAATCCATCTAGCCAGCCTAAATAGTTCGGACATTACAGCTTGTCGATGTTGCATCAATCGATGGTATTGACCCCTACAATTCAGCATGGAAGATTGGTATCGTGATACTGTCTCAACCCTCTTGTGAGTGAGACAAAGTGGATATTAATTCTTATATTGATCATTGCATTTAACTAGGTTTCTTCATAGCAGTTGAAATCTTTGTGGTTTGGAAACTTATGTTGGAAATGTGATTCCTAATATTTAGAATCATGACTCAGTGCTGAAATTGGTACTTCATTATATTGAAAGTGTATTGCCTTTCTGCTCTCTATGTAAATATGTTGTTGGCAAAAAAAAAAAGGAAATGCTCATTCAATTAAACAATAACTTGCCTTTTCTGAATCTTCTTCTATGGAAATACCGGTGTGTACTGTTTATGTATAAACAGAGATGCATACATATGTTGATGCTTACTGTGCATGCTTTAATACATTCACGCCTAGATCTGAATCCACATGTACTTCAGCCTACTTAGATCTGAATTGATATACTGGTGTTCTGCTCAGACTCCTGTCAAGTCTCATGCTTCTCTCTCAATTACTATGTTAAAAGATTACAGTTATCAGATTTCATCAATGTATATCACCCGACTTCATCTGCAGGTTTTGGAATTTGACACCCCAGAGACCCTTTTATCAAAGGATGACAGTGCTTTCTCCAAGATGGTTCAAAGTACTGGAACTGCTAATGCACAATACCTACGGGTACTAATACATGTCTTTTTCTTTCTGTTAGTTATTTACCTCTTCAAAAGAGTTTTCATGAGCAATATCTTATCTTGTTTTGTCACTTTAATCTAGAAGTATGGTTCATCACAAATCTTAGTTGTCATATAGGTGGTCAACTCTTTTAGTCAAGCCTATAAAGTTAAAAATTAGTAAGCATGTTTTATCCAATATGAATCATTTTTTTGTATTTCTTTGGTTTTAGGTATTGACTTTTTCCTTAATTGTTCATTCTCACTTTAGATCCTAGGAGGAATAATAATTCTTAAAATGACTTGGTATTGAGAGTTCAAGTTGTATTTTGGAAATTTAGCTTTATTACCAAACAAGAAATTTGTAAATGTCACAGGAAGACACCTTCCACACTCTAATTTCATTTTGTAAGCTGCAAATATCATTCAGAGGGTGTTGGTGTCATGGTGAGGTTGCTCAATTTTAGGAATAAGTTATCTAGGCCCTAGATAATCCATCGGCTCAAGAACAGGTAACCTGTCATCAAGCTTGGATACTTCAAATTTCTTGTGGTGCCTGTGTTGTCTATGTGTCCATGTTAATTGGATACTTCATGACATGTGCATGATGCTTCAAACGTATTCAACTCCTTGTACTATTGACATGCATATGTCTCGCACGTATTGAGGATATTTATAACATGTAATAAGTCTTCAATACGTCAAATTTTGATAATGAGCATCTAAATAAGTCTTCAAGACATCAAATATCCATATGCTTGGCAGCACTAGGATTTGAAAATTGTTACCAGCAATTGTATGTATGTTGTTGTGGACCTTTGCCCAATCAAGTAACGAGTAATTATGGCTATTTTTTTATTGCTTGCCTTCCTGTTCAGCATTTTTTTTTAAATATGCACTTATAGCCTTTTGTTTGATGGAAACAGAGTTTGGTCTTCGAGAACATGTCTAGCAGGGAAGAGACCAAGAGACAAGAAGGTCAGAGGAGATGGTTGGCCTCATCACGCTGGGTAGCTGCTGCCCAATTTGCACTCGGGGTCAGCCTGACATCTACGCAGAGTGACCTCCAAGGGCTGGTGATTGATGATGAGAATAACATCCTTAGGAGAACAAAGGATGCTGTTGTGACATTGCAGAGTGTTTTGGAAGGAAAGCATGACAACGAAATTGAAGAAAAGTTGGAAGAATACCATGTCCCAAGAGATAGGTGGTGGTCTTCACTATATAGAGTGGTTGAAGGTAACTTCTTTCAACATAGCTTTACCCGTGACACATGTTTGAACATAGACTGCAACAGTCTGCATGGGTAATTAATATGCTTCGGCTGATTGCTTGTCAAAAGAGATACGTTCATATGCACCAGATTCAGCACTCAACAAGGCATATTAACAGATTTTTCATGTTTAACTTATACTAAACAAATATACTACACGTAACAAGAGGCACCGTGACAGTGATTGAAAGAATAAGGTACACAAAAATAAGTGCATGTTCCTTTGTTCTACCCTACTATTCGATCAAAAATGCTTGTTATGTCTCATTTGCTTCTTGCAGCTTCTAATGTTACGTTGCTGGTCTCTTTCAGGTCTTGCGATTATGAGTAAACTGTCACGGAACCGACTTCAACAGTCAGGTTATGCTTTTGGAGACAGATCGCTCGATTGGGACCAGCTGGAGATGTAGCAAATGCAGCTGACCACCATTTTGCACCTCAAATCTGGTTGCTGGGAAGTGCAAGGGAAGCTTATGGTGCCTCCACTTTTGTCCATTGAAGTGACTCTTAATCTTTCTTTTGCTCTCTTCTTTTCCACAGCTGATACTGAAGACATCCATTATTGGAATTATAATTGTAATTGTAATTCTTCTCTCTCAATCATCGGTATTGAGAGGATGCCAAGGCACACAGATAGGTAACAGGCTTTTGCATGTTTGTAAAACTCTGCTGTGATGGACATACATTGTCTTCAAACACTCTCTTTAATGTCAAAGATGCTATTGCAAGGATTTATGAGTATCAGAAATGTAGGTTTCTTGTATGTGAGAGTTCCATCCATCTTTCTTTGACCTGACAATGTGACACCTTCTGTCCCATACTTTTTATCACATTGTTACTCTGCATTTTGATTTGGACTTCGACTTGATCATCCATCTTTGTTGTTTAGATGAGATGGCTAATTATATGATTTTGTTTATGGATGGATGGATGAAAAATAAATATCTATTTAATCGACATGAGTATTTAGGTGTACTCAAAACCCATCGGCTCAAGAACAGGTAACCAACCGGTCACTGACACGTGGACCCCCAATTCCTATACTCGGATAGCGATCGTGCAGCGGCCATGACAGCCTCCATCACAACAAATCGAAGCGAAACCAATCAAAACACGACAATTGAGGAGCTTTTCGACGGCTATTGATACTGGCTACCATGCTGATGGGCACGGGACACCGGGAATCCCCACGCCGTCACATCGGAGTGAATCCATAGCTGGGCCCCGACACGACCGTGTCCGTGGGTCTGCTTGCGCCGTCGACCAGCGAGACGTGAAATGTTGCCTAGGGGATGCCGTTGGATTCGCATGTTCGCGGATCTTGAAGCAAAGACGCGCATATCCAACGGCCAAGGAAGGCGCTGTGAGTCACGAAACCTTGAAAGACGGTGGAAGCATACGGCTAGAAGTTACCCAATACTAAAGTTACTCACGTTTGTACCCAGATTGAAGAGACGTGGGATCCTTCTTGGGGCCCGCCGGTTGAATAATTATATCGTTCGTGCTGAGAAAAGAAAGGAAGACACAGTGGGAGTGCTCTCGTTCCCCGTATCCCTCTTTCCTCTCCGCCTCCGCCTCCGCCTCTGCCTCCGATCTCCGGGGCTTCCCAGCATTCGATCTCGTCGATCATGTCCGCAGTAAGCGATTCTCTTCTCCAGATTCCCTGAGTCTTCTTTTCGTCGATTCTGTGATTCCTTTTCTTCCGATTGAACTTCCAGCATCCGGTCCTTTCTAACAATCGGAGTAGTCAAAATGCTCTTTTTTCTTCGAATTTAATGTATCTGATTTTGATTCTGAAAAAAAAAAAAAAAGAGAATCATCATGAAAATTTACTCTGGGAAGTTCTGGGAGACGTGCGCTATGGTTGAGGATTGGTTCCGTCTTGAGGATCGACCGAAATGATGCGGGTGTGTCTTGATTTGGTCGATTGTGAAACTTGATTGTTGATGCACGTACGTGGAAGTCAATGATCTTTGATTGGTTACTGTGGAGCCAGTCTTTGCTCTTTAGCACTTTGATTGGTGTGTTGGAACGTGTAATTTGTGCTCCTTGTTGGCTTAGAATTTTTGATGAATTAAATTGTTTAATTGCTTATCATATAGTGATCCAGTCCTTAGGAATTGTGCCAGTAGCTCAAGATCTATACATGCATGGCCTGTTTATGTGGGAAAGATTTTCTTGCATCAAGATTTCAAATTGTGGCGTCTGAGCTAATATTAGTAACCTGAGTGCTTAAACAAGCAAACCAATAATGTTATCTAGAATTTCTTTACTATTTTTTGGATCTGTTTTCATGATTGAAATAATTTGTGCTGGATAAGCAATATACCTTGATTACGTTCATTATTCTTCCTGCTGTTCCCATTTTAGAACTTTTTAGCAAGCTCAACCTTGGAATGTAACAGGACAGCAAAGATTAGACAGATGATCCTTTTCTTTTCTGAGTGAGAAACAACAGGATATGGACATGATATTACTTGTTAAATTTGTTTTATTTTGCCAAAATCTAAGGGAGATGGATCTTTAATCTAACTTTGAATGAAAAAGCTGACATGATAAACCATACAAGGCATCTGAACATATGTGATCCACTTAAATGTAGACTACATCTAATGAAGTCTGATATTTAAGCCAACACCTTCTGCTTGGTATCAACCAATTCTGTTCCTTGATGTGGACTCAGGCTTTGCTGGCCAAACTTTTTTTCTTATGGTTATGGTCCCCCAGAGATCACTCTTCATTTTTCTCCTCTAACACGATGCAACTCATCTTTTGGAAAATCCTGTTCACAACATAATAGTCCAGCTTTCTTTCCATCATATAATCTATTGGATGTCCGCCTTCCAGTCAGCCGGTATATATCATAACTTCTTGCTGTCCACTACTTTTCCGATTATACATTTCCTTGTATAGCCTCAATAAATTTTGTGGATGTAGAAGGTATGCTATGGAGTCTAGTCATTTCTAATCATGCTTAACTGTGTAATTAAATATAAAGCAGTATACCATTATTAAGAAACTGCTTGCTCAGCACAGATACCAAATATTTCTTCTCAAGTGCATGATAATGATGACTGTATTGCACATACACATAAAGAAGCATCAAACATGCATCAGTGGATGGCCTAGATAATCATAGCACAAATGTAAGGAAGTAATGACATAAGATTTACATATGATTTTTCGTGGCATATTGTGTTTGACGATGATACTAGTATTTTTCCCTTGCTTGGGTTGATCATAATTGAAACCAGAAAATGACTGCATGCTTGCTTCTTCCTTTTCTTGTTTTGGTTGCAATTAATATTCTTACTAGTGTGACTGCCAAAGTACTCTTGAGCGATTTGGGGACCGTGCTACATCTTCTACTACTGTTTTATATGCTGGACAATTGTTATTAAACCAGAAAATGACTGCACACTTGCTTCTTCCTTTTCTTGCTTTGGTTGCAATTAATATTCTTACTAGTGTGACTGCCAAAGTACTCTTTAAGCGATTTGAGGGCCGTGCTACATCTTCTACTACTGTTTTATATGCTGGACAATTGTTATTACAAGTTGAAAGTTTTATGTGAAGTGATTTGTAACCATTTCCGCTGGCTAGTCTAGGATTATCTCATACAATTATCTGTCTGATAAATCTTCCTACTACTCTCTGTGCAAGCAAGTTGCCTTTTTTTAAGTGAAGAATCCTTCAAAAGAAACTAGCCTATTGAAACCCAACTCTTTAAACATTGAGCTAGAATTCATGATCGCCTTTAACAGAACGTTATATCAAACTTGAATTTAGCTCTTAGCCTATATATTCTAGAATTTTTCTTCCATCAATTATTGAGTTGGGAAAAAGTGAGAAATCCACGAAGGAAACTAGTGTGCTTGTTGATAAGACAGTTATATGGAACCTAAATACAAATGCATTAGACTTGCATAAATCTGAAGCTTCAAGGAGATGTATTCTATTACTCTCAGTTAGGTCAAACTGAGGAGTGTTTGAAATGAACATCAGAAACTTTAATATGTTTGGGTATAATACTTACGGAAGTTCTTATAATATTAGTGTTTAGCCAAATTGGCAGATCCACAGTTCCGTTGTACATAGTTTGTCTTCCTTTTATTCTCATACTTTTACAATCTTATGCTTTGATTATGAGAAGGATCATTATGCATTTCAGTACCTGAGTGTATCTTCCTTCTCAAAATTTTACTTTGTTGAACTTTCTTGCGAAAAGGATTATTATGTTTTTAAGCACTTGAGTGAATTTAAGTTTATTCAGGAAGATAAATTGAAATCTACTCAAGGAAGAAAGGCATCAGCTACTTGCAAAAAGCTTCTTTGAGAAGGGCTAGGAGATTGATGAAAAGAAAAGTGTAGGTAGAGATGTACATTTGGATGAACAATGGAATTTTGCTATACCTGTAAACAGCACTTTGTTAAGTAACTTCAAAAGTTGGCCCTAGTGAGAAATTGAAGGCAACTGCCCATTGACTGCCACTCTGCTAGGAAATTGTCCTTTATTTTTTCCAATAATTGTACTTCTATTTGAATTTAGAGAAGTATTTTGTTGAATCGGTAATGCAGTGAACACATGCTGTAGTTTCATACCTTATCACCATTTTCCTGCTTGAAGATTCACCAGTATCAATAAAATTTAAGCAATTATCTCTCACTAAATTGGTTTTGAGATAAGGATGTTGGGATAGATCATGTATTACCAAATAAAAATGGAACCAGAAATGTTTACATTTGCAAACAATTATGGGTGGCTCCTAGAAAAGAATAAAATGAGATGAATTTTAGGTGGTATGTAAGTGCCAAAAAGAGACTTACAGATGTACTAGTTAGAACAGACGAGCCAATTATGATTCATAGTGTAAAAAGAGATATAGAAGACCAAAGAAACAATTTTTTTTAAAACATTAGAATAAAAATAGGTCTAATTGATCTTGGTTGCATAGCTGACCCAAAAGAGTTGGAATATTTCAGCTTGTTATTTTCCTGTTGTTGTAATCCGCACTTGATTAATGATATACTAGAACTTCTTCAATTCTTGTCATTTACTGTACACTTTGTAGTACAAATTTTTTTTTTTACCGAAAATTGACTATCAACTGCTTGCTTAATTGTTTCTGTCTTCTTTCCAAATGGCTGTTTTGGTTTCCCATAGCTGACTATGGTCCTCGAGATTTTATTTTTTTGAGTGCATCAGGAGAAGGGTCAACCATTGCCCAAGTTTGGAGAGTGGGATGTCAACAATCCTGCCTCGGCTGAAGGTTTCACTGTTATATTTAACAAAGTTCGAGATGAGAAGAAGACAGGTGGTAACTCGGGCACTCCGACAACACCAACGAGAAAAGATGTAGGTAGTCTGCCGCCAGATGACACCTACCAGCATCCGAGAAAAACTGTATGACCCTTTCTTATCTTTTAGAACCTTTGCTGAAACAAAAGAAAAAACTCATAACTGTGATTTGATCACAGAAGCTTCCACACCAATTGGTATCCATGATCATGTTTGTTTCAACACAAACTAACCCGAAACACCCTGCGCTTTTGCTGCTTTCCTTGTTGTACTACACAAGCACACAATTTCTTGGTTTACTAACCAGTTCATTAATTTGGTGCAGCGGAAGTGGTTTTGCTGTGGTTGAATGCTGCTACTGGAATGATTAGTACTTGGTAATCATAGTTTGGGTTGTGAGGATAAAGAAAGTTTGGTTTAATGATCAGATCCTGTCATATGAATATTATGGTATCTGATGGATGATCCGTCTGTATCAATATTATTTCGACAAAAAAAAGACAATACATGGATGGATAATTATTTTTCTTTCAGTTTTAGCTAAATGGATTGCTGGAAAGAGCAGTGTCTTGTTGTGTCTCTCATTTTATATTTCTCTGTAGATTTGCACAAACAACACATTCCTTCAAATTTTTAGAAACCTTCTTCACATCTTTTAAGCAGCCTTTTGAAAGAAGCATCATAAATAAATCAAGTCATGGATTTGTCTCTGTTGACGCATTCCAATCATTAATGTACTGTTCTTGGGTTCAAATCTACATATAAATGTCATCATATATGTAGTGATATTTTCTTTTTCATGGAAATCAAAACAAAGGCATATCAAGTTTTATTTCCAAAATTAAAACATATATAGTGAATGATACGGTATATTTTGGCCCAAGACACGTCAGAGTCCGACGCCATCGGTCACAGTCAGAATCCGTACTAGGACACTGTTCGACACGTCATATCTTGGGAATCCCGATGCAGAAACGCTCCCGAGACTCGTAAGTCAGAATTTGTACCAAGGCACTGTTTGACATGTCTACCACGCCAACCCGCGTACGATCGACCCACGTGCAATATTATAAAGACCTATAGCAAGCATCTGACAAGGTGGGGGAAAAAAAGATCAATTGATCACTCCACTGACTTGCTCGTCAGAGGGGCATCGTCGGGTGATCCTGACGAGAGCTATTTTTGTAAGAAAATACGGCCATCTCACAAAGGCGAGCTGCCAGTCACCCCGGAGAAGGAGAGACGTAGCTCGGCATACAAGGAACGCTGATCAATACCCCGTCGCGAGGGCCCGGTCGACCTCGGCATCCAGCCCACCCGACAGAAGACTCCCGACATTGACCCGTGGACCAGGCCGTGCTGACTCACCAGCCACGGCACATCTGTTCACCAACAATGAATAAAATGAAATCTAAAAAAAAATTTAAGAACACATCTCTAAAAATAAAAAAAATAATGCAGGGAGAAAATGTGGTTTAACTTTTGTTCAGGAAATAATATAAGAAAAAAGACTTATAATTCTTCAAAAGGATTAATTACCATAAATTGATCGGTAAGTTGTCAGCAACTCTGTAAATAAGAAAAATAATATTTTATTATATTTTAAAAGAGATTATCACTAGTAAAAAGCGAAAATGGCCATTTGCGAAAATGGACCGGCCTGGTTCATAAGAGACTCCTCGACCGCTGCTGAGCCGTAATATCAACGGCTGAGACTACCTTATTTTCAATGGGTAACCCGATCCGACCGTCCGTGTCCGCGAGCGCCGGAGGCGATACGGTGGAGGCGAGCCAACAAATAACATAACAGTCTTTTACCTTTCCGTCGTCTTCTTCGTCTTCTTCTGCCTCTTCGCGGGCGGATCCGATCGAAATCTCGCCCAGGGTTTCTTCCTCGAGATTGAACAGAAGCGTCGAGTCGCGAGGCACCTTCATTTCGTAAGCCTTCGTTCCAGTCGCCTACTATTCGACGCTTTCGATCCCTGCGGATCTTGGTTAGGGTTAGGGTTAGGGTTTCGTTGTTCGGAGACTTACTTTTAATCTTTTATTAGGTTTCAGCGTAGATTAGGGCTTAAATATTGGGCTTTTGCGCAGGATTTGTTAGGGATAGGACTTACGTTGAAAATTTGATTAGGTTTCAGCGTCGAGTTCTTTTGCTTCTTTCATCTCTTCAACTTTCAATCTTTTTTGGTATAAAATCGAGAAAGATGATTGTGTTCTGCTTCCTAAGTTTTCGATTATTCTGAGAATTTGACCACTGAAAAATGGAAGAAGATGATTGCTGAAATCAGAGTCATGAATATTTGCTGAATTCTAATTACTGAGATCAGAGTCATGCCATCTCCCAGTTTGTCTTAGTTAATACTGTAACTTAGTGAAGAGCATGTTCATTTTTAGTTCCTCTTTCCATTGACATTGTCGATTAACTTGATTTAAGTTGCAATAGATCACAGTGTGTTTCTAGGTTTACAGCTTGAACATCTTTGTGATTGCCGGCAGTTTTATTAAGGGAGAAAAGGAAAAAAAATGCTGGGTGGACTGTATGGGGACCTTCCGCCTCCTTCTTCAGCAGCTGATGAAGAGAAAAGCAGTAGTTCCACTGTTTGGTCGAGCAGCGCAAAGATGGCGCCGGCCACATTGCGAAAGCCGTCATCTGTACTTACACCTCCTCAGTCCGTTTTGAAGAACCAGCAGTCGCAAAGCAAAGCTAAAAGCTCAATTGCGTCACAAATGAAGACTCTGAGTTCTTCTGCTCCACCACCATCTTTACCAGAAAATGGTACAAAAAGCTCATCCTTTCAGCCAGCTCTTGTCGGGGTAACATCATCAGTGATCGAGGAATATGATCCTGCAAGACCAAATGATTATGAAGAGTATAGGAGAGAGAAGAAGAAAAGAGCTGCAGAGGCTGAAATGAAGAGGGAGCTGGAGAGGAGGCGTCGCGAAGAGGAAGAAAGGGAGAGAGAGCGTGAAAGAAGGGAACGAGAAGCTGCAGAGAGAGAGGATAATGATCATCAATCAAGGTCCTCATCATTGAGTATTTCTGGTGAAGAAGCTTGGAGAAGACGTGCTGCCATAAGCGGGGGAGTTGCTCCAAGGTCACCTTCGCCACCTCCAGGTGGGGAGGGGTTTAGCATCGGAAAGTCAGGTTCGACTGGATTGGGAATTGGTGTTGGTGGGCAGATGACTGCTGCACAGAGGATGATGGCAAAGATGGGCTGGAAAGAAGGCCAGGGACTCGGCAAGCAGGAACAGGGAATTACTACTCCACTGATGGCCAAAAAGACTGACAGACGAGCTGGGGTGATAGTTAATGCCAGCGAGTCTAAACCAGATAAGAAGCCTAAAAGTGTTAATCTCAATAGCTCACCGACTCGTGTTGTACTACTCCGGAACATGGTAAGGGGGATGTCTTTCTTGTTTTATCACTGTGGTTTCAGATTCAGCAAGTGTGTTGTTTTGCATGCTATTATCTAATCTATTCTCATGCTTTCTTGTACATATACAGTTTTCTCAGATCATATGCCTGTTTAGGTGTTGCTGCATTAACTTTTGAATTTTGATGTTGCAATTGTTAACATTATGCTGCCATAAGTTATATAAATGGCAGTAGACATGTGCTCGTATTGCTCAATGTGCATGCCCAAGTGAAAGTTAAATTGTTCTTTTTTGTCATATTTTGTGCTTTTCTATATCATTTCATGGGTTCTCGACTCCAAGTTCTTTCAAATAGACATGTATTGTTTTTAGTAAGATGTTGGCAGTGGTTAATAAGTTAAAATTCCTTTGTGCTTATTATTTTAGCTTGCAAATTGTTAATGTAACTTCTTCCGCTAGTGTTTTTTTTTGGTGGATTGATCTTTGAGGTTTATCCTCTCTTATGTGGTTTTATTTGTACAAGATTCAATTACGAAATTCTGGGTTTTAGGTTCAGGCTCATGACACAAGGGAATATATCTCACATACATAAGATCATTGAATAATCTTAGTTGTAAAGAAAAGAAAAGATTGTTGAACAATATTGTTCTTATAGGAAAGAAAGGACTCTTTCATGGTTCTGTATGCATTATACAGATACAAACAACAATGTTTATCCTTTGTTCTTGTTGTCCTTGTCACTCTTTTTCAGTATGCTTTTCTTTTCTTTTGCTTTCCCCTTCTCCTTTTCTTGCCTTCTCTCTCTCTCTGTTATATGTGTGTGATCCAATGTTTTTGGTGCAACTCACTTACTGGAGTAGCACAAGTACAGTCACTTTTTTCTCCTCCTTTGGGGTATATGGAGCCATGTACATTTCAAAGACACAAGCTAGTGAGCTGATGAAAGAACCTGAAAGATATATTAATTGCATAAGCGTTCGAAGGCTGTTGTACTGCTTTAGCCTCCATTTGAAATCCAGTTTGAAGTGTCATAACTACTGCCTCTTGGAATGCTGGGTGTTGGATATTATTTGTCTACTCAGCCCTTGTCCTCATATATCGCTGTAGAGAAACCTGTTGTCAATCATTCTGGAACAGGTACCTAACACCATTTGAAAATTGTTTCCGTTGTCCTAAATCTTGGCCTGCTTCATAGAAGGAACATAAACAATAAGAAAATAGTAATTTAATGGAGGTGCTAATAGACTGCTTTCTTACCAGGTTGGACCAGGAGAGGTGGATGATGAGCTTGAAGATGAGGTTGCCTCCGAGTGCACCAAGTATGGCACTGTGACACGTGTCTTGATATTCGAAATCACCGAGGCCAACTTCCCAACTGATGAAGCAGTCAGGATCTTTGTGCAATTTGAGAGATCAGAGGAAGCGACAAAGGCATTAATTGACCTTGATGGTCGCTTCTTTGGTGGAAGAGTAGTGCATGCTTCATTCTATGATGAGGAGAGATTCGGAAACAACGAGCTGGCTCCAATGCCTGGTGAGATACCTGGTTACCCATGAGAAGATTAAACGCTGACCAAATTGGGGATCAATGTAAACCTGTGTGATTTTCTTTTTTGGTAGAAGCTGGAGTCTGATTTCCCGCATTGGAGCTGTGCCACTTGTTTGGCAAAATTTAGGGAACTTTTGATGCTGGCAACAATATTTAGGAACACAACCAACATGGATCAAGAGCTGTACAAGCTATACCTCTTGAGATATTCCTGAACCATGGAGCTTAATGTGAACTATTATTAGTTTGAGGTACATATCATTCTGTGTGATGCATTAGTAGGAAAGTGTATCTTTTTTTGGGGAAAAGTTGGTAGACCTAAAGACATGCTTGGACATGATCCTTTTCTGGATATTGCTTGTTCCATGGTTGCTTTTATTAGTTAAAACTGTGAGGTCAGTTGTCATAATGATTCATCCTAATGTTTTCAGCATGAACTAACCCCCTTTGTCTTGTATGTAATTTTTAGGTTGCACTCTTTCAATCAATTTATCATATACTGGATTTAAGATTATATATATATATATATATATGTATATATGTGTGTGTATATATGTATGTATATGTATGTGTGTATATGTGTATGTATATATACATATATATATATATATATATATATATATATATATATATAATATTTAGGTTGTACTCTTTCAATCAATTTATCATATATATATATATGTATGTATATGTATGTGTGTATATGTATATGTATTCATATGTGTGTGTAATTCTTTTAGCAATGAATATCCTTGTGTTGATAAATTTAAACTTTTATTAATTAGTTTAAAATTTTAATAATTAATTTGGATATGTATGTATGTATGTATGTATGTATGTATGTATGTATAATTCTTTTAGCAATGAATATCCTTGTGTTGATAAATTTAAACTTGGGATCAGTAGAGTTGTTTTCTTTTTCAAGGAAATCAATGCAGAAGGCATATCAAATTCTATTTTTCAAAATTAAAACAGAGCTACCAAAAAAAGGAAATATCATACTTTTTGAGAATATGTCTCTAAAATAAAAACTGAATACAGAGAGAAAAGGTCATTAACTTTTGTTCAGGAAATAAATTTCAGAAAAATAATTAAAGTTCCACAAAAGGATTTATTACCGAAATTGACTGATATGCTATCAATTGTCTATTATACATGGAAATGGGCCAAAATAGACCGCCACGGTTCATAAGCGACTCCTCGACCGTTAATGAGCCGTAAAATCAACGGTTGCGACCACTTTCTTGTCAGTGGATGGTTAGATCTGGCCGTCCGTTATCATGGGCATTGGCGGCGTGACGGTGGAGGCTATAAATAGCGGAAGGAAGCCAAGAAATGAAGAAAGATATTAGTCTTCGACCTTTCCTTCTTCTGCCTTTTGTGGGCGGATCCGATCGAAGTCTCTCCCAGGGTTTCTTTCTCGAGATTGGATCGAATCGTCGGGTTCTCGAGGTACCTTCAATTCGTCACCCTTCGTTCCGGTTGCCTACTATTTGACGCTTTCTATCCCTGCGGATCTTGGTTAGGGTTAGGGTTTCGTTGTTCCGAGGCTTACTTTTAATCTTTGATTAGGTTTTAGCATCGATAAAAAGGGGGCCTTTTTTTGTTTGCAGATTACTAGTTAGGAATAGGAGCTTGGGAAGGATCTCTTCTTTGGTTTTTGGTTGATTCTTCATTTTGCTTCGTCTTTTTGTTCTCAATTAGGCTCAAATTCTTCCTGTAGAAGGGATCCACAGCATTCTTTCTTCCCTTTTTCGCTTTTTTGTCTTCGTTAATTTAGGTTCTGGCTGTTCAATCTTTGACAAAAAGAGATCTTTGAGGATTTTACAATTGTTTTGGCGGTAGAGGAGACCGTTCTAATTGCAATTTAGTTCCAAGCTCGACTCTTTTATGGCCTTAGAATGCCGAGGGATAGAGGAATCATTGCCAGAGAAGTTTGCCGCTAGTACTTGGGACGAAGAAGTTCTCTGGGCTGGCGTCCCTTCCCAAGTTTTATGTGTCAGCTCGAAACCAATGTGCAGCAAGAAACCTTACAGCAAATCCATTACTCGGAAATCTGTTTCCTCGGTTCCTTTGAAGAAAGGTGACTCCAAGTCTGAGAGGACGACAGCTGATGAGGCAGGTCCTAATGGTCAACCCCTTTCCTTCACGGACCTTCCTGCGACTGTAGTCTCTGAGATTCTTCGGTGTCTCGATGCCAAAGATCTCGGCATCATGTCCTGTGTCTCTACTCTGCTCAATAGCCTTGCATCTGACCATTATGGGTGGAAGGATTTCTATTGTGATAGATGGGGTCCTCCACGGGGACTGAATCCTCCTGCTGGACCTGGCTTCCCAAACCATAAATCTTGGAAGGAGTTATTTGTGGAAAGGGTGTTTAGAAGCAAATCGTTCATGGGACGGTACAGCATGGAGGACCTCCATGGCCACACTGAAGCTGTACGAGCTGTATTTCTTCTCCAGTCAGCAAAACTTATCTTTACCGGAGGGTATGATGCTGTCATTCGTATGTGGGACATGGAAGAAGGCTTGTCGGTTGCGGTATCTCGCCCTCTCGGTTGCACAATTCGAGCTATCACTGCTGATTCTGAGCTCTTGGTAGCTGGCGGAACAGATGCATTTCTGCAGTGCTGGAGAGCAATTGAAGGGCATCCACACCTGTTTGACATTGCAGGTGTCTCTGTGAACCATAACTGCAACTTCCGCCTATGGGGCCATGAAGGCCCTGTTACTTGTCTTGCTTTAGATTCCACCAGAATTTATAGTGGTTCATGGGACATGAGTGTTCGTATATGGGACCGAACTCATTCAAAATGCTTGAGGACATTGAGGCATGGAGATTGGGTGTGGTCTCTCGTCCCTCGTGGTGGAACTGTTGCTAGCACAGCTGGTAGAGATGCTTATATTTGGGACATTGACACTGGATGCTTGATGACTGTTATCCATAATGCTCATGAGGGTAATGCCTATTCTTTGACTCGAAGCCATTTGGGAGATCTTTTATTTACTGGAGGAGAGGATGGCATGATTCATATGTACCAAGTTAGCCATGACTGTGATGCTGAAGATATTAAACCAGTTGCGACTTGGATTCCACACACAGGCCCTGTTCATTCACTTGCTTTTGAGTTTCCATGGGTTGTGTCATCTTCAAGTGATGGGAGGATCGCCCTAATTAATGTGAGGAAGCTGTTGAAGTCTGGTCAATCTTGCACTTCAAGTCAGCAATCTCAGGTCAGGCACTCCACTCCAGATGCAGTGGAGCCACCTCAAAGGATGCTACATGGCTTTGGTTGCAATCTTTTCTCTGTGGACATTGGTGCGGATAGGATCATATGTGGTGGTGAGGAAGGTATTATTAGAATTTGGAACTTTTCACAGGCATTGGAGGTTGCAAAGAGGGCCCAAGCCCTTAGAAGTGTTAGGCTGGAGAACCGGATGAGGCGGCGCAAGGCGCAGATTGAGATGTGTAGTAATGGTGCATGCGCTGATCAGTGTTCAGTTGCAGCAAGAAGGAATCAGCTGAATGGGGAGCGCAGTGGCGTTTGGCACAGTAAGCGTGGCATGAGTGGAAAACTAAAGGCCTAGAGACAGGGACTCTGTCCCTGTAACTTGTCAAGTGCTTAATTTATGAAACTTGTATAAACATACTGTCAGGATTAATCTTAGACTGGTGCATAGTGTTATCCATGTTCCACATTTTTCTTCATTATAGATTTGTGCTTGCATAGTGTAAACATACTGTTGTCATTTTCAGCTCTCTTATTATATTTTGTACTCAATTTTTGTGTTCTTATTTTTCGTGTTGGCTTTGACTTGATGATGATTTGTTCTGACCCCTTCTCATATATTGTTAGTCATATTCTTTTTCGTATATTTTTAAGGAATATTTGCTCCTGGATATGCATATCGGCATAGTAGGTACACTAGCCTTCACATAATTGAGACTTTGACTAAGAGAAGTTTAGTATGTGGAAATTGCTCTCACAAATTATACTTAAAAGATGAGCTTTGTGGGGATAGAGCAAATTGGCTGGTCCACCCCCCCCCCCCCTCTCTTTTAATGTTTTATCTACATGCACTTAACTTCCGACTCATGCCTAATGTGAACTGTGGCTTCTGGGTTCACTTGTAAGTGCCTGGTTAAGTACAGAAATATATTTGAGATGAATCATATGCCAAAAATATGATTTCATTCCGTACATACCAGAAGCATTGGTGACAGTTTCCTCTGTGTTCCAGGATATATTACTTGTTGTTAGCCTCATTAAGATATTCTTCAACTTATTGTTGCCTAAAGTCCATCTGGAGATTTTTCTGTCAATGGTTGTATTTACCCCTGGAAAAGCTTGATGTTTAGTTATCAGAGCACTACATCTCTGTTGTATGCACTGTGCTGAAAAGTTTCTTTTTTTTCTTCTTTTTAAGTAACTATTACTGGACTTTTATTAGATGTTCTCATATCTCAACTTCAGGGATTGTAATCTGCATTATTATGCCACTGCAACCAGCAATGTTCACTAGTTCTGTCCACAAATCAGAGATATGAGAAGGCTTCTTATTTATGTTTGGACACAAGATGGCACAAATTGAGCAGGTATTGAGAGCTGATGAGGCCGGAGAGAGCTGACTCTTTCTACATTCCTGTTCTTCCCTCATGTTTCACTTGCTCATATTTGTTGATCAGGCTTTGCTAAAACATGAGCATAAATTCTAGTTGAGAGTAAAATCTTTGGAACTTCCCTCGAATGCTTTTGAAACTTTGAGCTGAAGTGTGTTTGCATGACTTGCATTTGCATCCACACAGCACTGCATCATCTTATCACCACATATACACCTCTCTGCCATTTGTTCTCCTACAACATAGCCCATTGTATAACTGATGAGATGGACTCTCCAAGATTCTTTTCTTTCACTTTTTGTAGGCATTTCATATTAACCATACTCACAGATGTTGTCAGACCAGAACACTGCAAAATTCTCCACTTTCATGAGATCTCTCATTTGAGGACTTGAATGATAAGTGAGAGGAAAAATCAGGGGAAAATATGATGGATGTTGGCTGGCTGACTTGCAGAATCTCCACTTTCATGAGATCTCTCATTTGAGGACTTGAATGATAAGTGAAAGGAAAAATCAGGGGAAAATATGATGGATGTTGGCTGGCTGACTTGCAGAATCTCCACTTTCATGAGATCTCTCATTTGAGGACTTGAATGATAAGTGAGAGGAAAAATCAGGGGAAAATATGATGGATGTTGGCTTGCTGACTTGCAGAAACTTGTGACCACAGGACAGAGAGAGTAGTGACTGCATTGTTTGACAGGGATGTCAGCAATCCAAGCAATTTAAATGATGCTGCAGGAGTTCATATGAATCTGACTGCAAATGAGTGAAGACCTGAGAAAAAGTAGTGTAGCTTCCAATACATCTCCACCATGTTTATGTTGACCTGAGAAAAGTAGTGTAGCTTCCAATACATCTCCACCATGTTTATGTTGACCTGAGAAAAAGTAGTGTAGCTTCCAATACATCTCTTATCATGTGCAAGGCAGATGACATGTTTTATTTTTATTGCTATGATAAATATTTTGATTGAAGACAGTAACAAAGCAGAAGATCCTATATCTTAATCTGGTTCTACCTGTTAGATCGAGTTTGTCTGCTATCCTCACTTGCATGAGTCTTTTATGAATATAAATCTGATTAATTACTCAAGCTTTTGGGTGAGATGATAATGATACAAATCTAAAAGATGGATTCAGGCATGATAGAAAGTGAAGGCAAGACTCAGTAGGTGCTGTCCATTGCAGAAGATACCAAATCATACAAGATTTCAAGCAGAAAGGGAGACCAAAAAAGACAGAAAAAGTATTGATGCTGGCAATACGTGTCCCTCAAAGTAACTAAAGATGCTCTGAAACAGTACCACCATAGGGGAGAACAAAGGAAATCAACCATATGACTCCTCAGTCAAGGAATCAATCTATAACATCAGTAATGAAGAGGAACTTCATCATCAGAACAAACTTTGGCCAAAAGATTCACAATGACTTTCATGAGAAGAGGGTAATTAACTATTCAAAGTAACTTTGGTGACATTTGAATCACAAGTTCCTCGTACACATGAAGAAGTTTACAGGCAAATCAGTGAATCTCTAACCCCAACTCTTCTCATAACGAGAACAGATAGATAAGATAGAAGCCTTCAGGCCCTCTTCACACTCTAAACTCATCAGTGATCAGAGTTGCAGCCACAGAAGAAATCGTAGGAATCGAAGAGGCCCTCCCTCCACAGATCAAAATGGTGAGCAGGTCATGTTTGCTTTCTGCCTCTCTCTTTCTTAAATATGTTACAAGTTCTTTCTCTGGATTAGTACTGTCTGCAAGTAGATAGTTAACCCAAAAAGAGCAACATATCTCCTCTCACATTCTCATTAGGTGTAGAGCAACCAGAACATGGAGAAGAAAGAAAGCAGTGATGGTGAGGCAAGCACCATGTCTGCAGAGTTTCAAGCTTTCTGTCACTTGGTCGATGGAGAACGGGCACGCCGGCAATTGATAGAAGAGAGGCAGAGAAGAAGCTCACGGAAGGAATCAGCAAGAAGTAGGACTGTCACATGGAATCCAACATTTGAAGTAGAAGACTTCAAGATGGCAGCTGAGGATGCTCACAATGACCATGATCAACCATCATCCTCCATCGGAAGGTCAAGTCAGTTGGGAGGAATGGAAGAGGAGAGAGTGCTCATAGGGGCAAAAAGGATGAGAGAATTGGATCCACTTTGCACAACTGGAGAGAAGAGGCACAAATCCAATGCTGGTAGAGGATCTGAATGTGCACTTGATCTGAACAAAATTGAAGAGTCTTCAGATGTTGGTAATTAGATAAGTCTAATTGATTTGATACAGTGAACTGCATCATGTTTAAGATTCAGCTGGGAGGAAGATTACTTGATCCTCCTCTGATAGATCAGCAAGTTAGCAACTTCAAATATTTAGTTGACAATCTTTCTATTGAGATTTTTTCCTCAAATTTTTGTACAATATCATAGTGACAAATTAGTTCTTCATAATTCTGATAGCACTTGAATTTAGACTTGACTTGCAGATAAGATGTTCTAAAAGTTACTTCTGAATGAAAGTTGGCCGTGAGTCTCGGAACTCCTTCTAGCTTAGTGAATTATTATCTCTATAATAATTCACTTGACTCATCGAATGCATACGTACTAGGCCACTACGTCGTAGTCTCCAAACGATACAGGGGAATCCAATACATTGGATCTGTCTATCCTTAGTTACCATGTACCTATAGTCCCTCATCCATCTAATATCCCATAGATCGTATACCGGGCACGGTGTTGTTAGACTCATATAGTTTCGACTCGAGTCTCGCTCTAATAGGAAGATACCAAGTCAATCCAAATTGCATGTCGAGAATAAAAGAGATGTTTATAGATGCTTCAAAGAAAACAAAAGCTTGTCATTATTCCTTACCCCATTTGGTGATCCAAGAAAATTAGAACATGGAGAGATTTGCTGTACAACTCTTAATTAACCTCCACAATTGTGTGCATCGACTTTGCCGCAATCGGATAAAAGCAGAGTTCTCGAGCAAACTCATGTTTGTCTTCAAACTGATGTGTCTTCTTAGGGTCAAATAAAGATGAACAACTAATGTGTGAGGTTACCTTTTAGTGCATCTCCTCAGGCTCAAATGCTGCCAACTTTCTCTCATCCAGTATTGAACATGAACTCTCACAGCCTCTGTTGATTTGAAACCTCACTTGAATCTTCAGAATTTAAAATAACAAGTGTGAATGGTTGAAGCCAACAAGATTCAGATGACCAAAAGAACACCAATCACATGTCGAGTGGATTGAAATTGCCATCAGAAACTCACCATAAACATTGTTCTGTTCTATGTTTCTGATCTGCATATGGATTCACATGTGTGTTGAATTCTATTTCATCCCTCAAATACCAGAGAAGTAGCACCACAAAAATGTGCTGTTACCTATAAACAAATGATCTCCTATCTTGTCAAAGAAGTCTGCAAACTTGGCCGATGTTGGTAAGAATGACAGCTAAAGTGTGGAAAGATATTATGATCAGGAAGCCGGAAAGCAGCTTACATGATGTTTATGTCATATAATCTAATAATTGTTAGAATAGTATTCCACGGATTTGATGCACTTGATTGAATGTGAGTTGATATGACAAAAAATGGCAGACCCAGCACAACCGGACGAGGCAGAAACAGGTAACGGTTGAAGCTCGCCCATATCCTGCGATCCCCCGGTCTCCCACGCAAACCCCTGAGCGACACACTGCCCGAGGCACTTC